CTCCACAGGCCCTGGTCTCTGCAGGTGGTGGATTACCTGACCCAGTACTCCGGGATCAAGCCGGGAGACCTGGATGCCAAGATCTCCTCCAAGCACTTGACCACCCTCAAATCCACTTACCTGAAGCTGCGTTTCCTCATCGACGTGGGCGTCAAGTTTGTGGGCCATGGGCTGCAGAAGGACTTCCGTGTCATCAACCTGATGGTGACAGCACTGAGCCCCCTCCCTCCCCTGGGTCTGGGCAGGAGCCGTGCAAACCCTCCCCTCCACGGCAGCCCCCCTGCCCTGGCAGCAGGACCCTCTCTGCTCTCCAGGTGCCCAAGGACCAGGTGATCGACACCGTGTACCTGTTCCACATCCCGAGGAAGAGGATGATCTCCCTGCGCTTCCTCGCCTGGTACTTCCTGGGTCAGTGGCCAAACTCCTGGATCCGGGAGGGGCGGGAGCAGGGGCATAAACCCCCCCGGGGGTCCCCACCAGGCCTCTCCCTGACCGAGGGGTCTCCCCCCAGACCTGAAGATCCAGGGAGAAACCCACGACAGCATCGAGGACGCACAGACGGCCCTGCGGCTCTACCGCAAGTACCTGGAGCTGAGCCCGCAGGGCTCGGAGCCCGAGGAGTTCCGGAAGGTGCTCAAGGGGCTCTACGAGAAGGGCCGAAAGCTGGACTGGAAGGTGCCCGAGCCCGACAGCCAGAGCAGCCCCAAGCGTAAGGCCCCCCCACTGCCCCTCCCCGCGCCCCCTCCCTGCGCCCCCTGACCCCCTCTGTCCCCGCAGATGGGGCCGTGTTCCCCTCCGTGCTCGCCCTGTGACCGGAGCCCCTGCCAGGAGCAGCCTCGGGGCAGGTGGATAAATACGTGTGGAACTGGAACCAGCAGCGGGGTCGGGGCTGTCTCCGGCCCTGCCCGACCCCCCCGGGCCTCCCCCGGGGCCCGGAGCCCCGGGACTCCCTTTCCCTGCCGGTACCGGGAATCCCTGTCCGCCCCCCGTCCCTCGCCCGCCGGCCCGGGCGCCCTCATAAAGCACCTCGGACACCCGCGCCCTGAGTCCTCCTTGGCTCCGGGGATCGGCTCCGGCCACACGGGGCGGGGGAGCCGGGGCTGGCACCGGGGCACGGCAGGAAGGGCTCAGGCTCAGACCAGGACCGAGGACACGGTGGGGCCGGGGCTGGGGCCGGGACAGGGCACAGAGGAACCGGACCGGGACCGGGGCAGGGCAGGGACGACCGGGACCAGAGCTGGGACCAGGGACAGGACGCAGAGGAGCCCGGGCTGGCACCGGGGACACGGCAGGACAGACCGGGACCGGGGCTCAGACCTGGGGTACGGCGGGAGGGACGGGGCTCGCCCCGGCCCCGGGGTCACGGCGGGACGGACGGGACTCCGCCGGTACCGGGGCTGGGGGCGTGGCCGGGGCAGTCCCGTGGGCGGGGTCAGCACAAACCCCGCCCCTCGGGGCCGAGCGCCACGCGGCCGGGCCCTG